GTAGACCTTCCACATACAGTTGAATAAAACCGAAAATATTGGGAAGGGGTAGTTTGAAGTAGTTGTATCGTATTTGGAAGTTTATTTTTGAGACTTGTTCGACAGTAAGACATTTTCGCCCCATAATATATGAGTTTTAAAAGCTGCATAGTGTTGGATATTTGGTCAGTCTAGACGATTTAGTGATGATCACTCAGATGGCTAGTAATAAAAAGTTTCAGCTTTTGAACCGATCTCTCGGAATCGCTGTTTAAAATATATAAACCATTTTAATGGCTCAAAATTTTTAAACAATCAAATACGACCTAAGTATCACTCTAATACACTTCCCGCTTAGCTAATAGTTCAAAGCCCAGGCACGTGGTCTGCCGCCTTTCCCGCTACCGCATGACGAGACTACGAGGGAGCGGACACTTTGGTTGTTCGCATAGCGTTCCTTCTGCTTTATGGCTTTTGAACGTTAAATATTTATGTTAAACTAACGAGGTTATAAGCTACCAGATTAATAGATGACGTTCCGCACCTGAAAAGTGACTATAATATATATAAGAATTTAAGAATTGATTCTAATTAGCTGCCCAAGGCAGTTAACTCTGCAGAAATGCTCCAAGGGTTAACAAAATCATAACTTTAATATCCAAAATAGGGGCTGCTAGAGGTTGTCTTGTCAGTGCGCTTATCACATATGATTTGAAATTCTGAAGGAGGGCCGCTGATTCCAGCCAAGTGGATACCGCCGATCAAATTCCGTTTTGTTGAATAGAAGCCTTCTTGCTAACACAGGCTTTATTAGTGCTTAGTTCGGAGACTGAGGAGCTAATAAATGTGTTGGCACAGCCACCACCAACAAAAAAGTAAACTTCTCGCAACCGGAATTCCACTTGGAACAGTATTCATTTTTATGTCAACTTTGTTGTGACAAAAAGGCCGAAAAGCCTATCTGTTGTGTAATTCCCCTAGCAAAACTCTGGCCAATGGCGATAACACACTGTTTCATTTTTTCCCATGGATCTACTCTCGGCCCTGCCACTTCAGCGAACATCATTAAGCACAGGCAAGCTCCTTCTCTGCCCGTCATCCTTATCGTATGACTATTGGCCATATAATTTTTACGTCTCACTCTGCAGCACATGAACCGAAATGTACTCAATATTCCTCCGGAGGACAAGCCAGTAGTATAAATCCAAAAGATCACGAATAAACGCGTAGTCTATCTGTCTGTCCAACTTTGTCTAGGAGTGCTTGCCACTTCGGAGTCATAAGGAATTGTATTTTTTCTTAGGCATATTTTAATCTAAATGTTAAGGGAACGTCAGCCCGTATTTCTTGGCCTTAGCTCATGAGATGAGAATATCATCTTAATCCAGTAAAGAGCATTTAGACTTTTGATAACTAACCTTGTCAGTCACTCGTTTGAGCTGAGGGACAGGAAGGCCGTAGGACGTTTCCTGGTCATTCAGACCAGTCTTAATGGATACATTTCTGCCATAGCCTACAGGCTTATTACAAATGCAAAGTACCAGCAAGATAAACTTGTACCTTAGGCAATCCAAGTACAGAGTTTTGGTTTCGACTTATATCAAAAATGCATGGTTTCACGTTCCGCTAATCTGAATAGTTTATCTTCGCTGCCGACGAATGGTCAGGTTGAGTTAGGGAGTAAAAAGTTTAAAGTCTGCCGGCCTAACTTGCGAAATGTTAACCCCAAATTTGGAATATGTTCTTAAACAGAAAAGATGACTTAAGTGATGTTGTTAGATTGCTTGTGATGCAGCATACTCCGAGGATATTTCAATCACGTTTGGATACCAGCTATTGAATGGACATCTATGCGACAGCCTGCAGAAACCATATTACGTAAAATTTTAACTTTAAGGTAGGAACTTTCCTCATTAATTTAAGATGTTACTATAAATTAAAATACACTTAGAGATATGCATGGAAATTGCTTTTATTGTGTTCATCTGGTAGGAAATGATACTGTGAAAAGTTAAACCTGGGGAGAGGCTATTTTTGTTTTAAAATGCGGTTTCACCATAACATTAATAAAGTAGTGAGATGCCCCTTTAAACAGCATTGGATTTTTACGTCCTATCAGTCCTTCTACTGTGAATATGGCAGTATAGTCCAATTCCATTGCAAACCCCTCCGAGTATACAAACTGTATGCGGCATATAAGTTGGAAGCCTTAACTTAAATACGACCACTAGTCGTATTTCAAATAATTTTAAATTGAAGACAAAAACATCTACAACCTAAAGATACCTTTTCAACAGAAGATTATTTGATTTATAGGGGTATATAAAATAAATGGGAAAACGTTACTGTATTTCTTAAGGCATTTTGTCAAGTGTGTTTTTGCGAGCTACCGGAAAGATGCTCATTTAGAGAGCAGCATCCTAGTGTGATAGAAAATGCTTAATTGAGCTCACAAGATAATTGCTCTCACAACATCAACTTAGTAATCCCTTCTTATTAAAAACATTCGGAGTTTCATTAAAACTTATGGGATAGAACAGATACTTTATGTGCTGCGCCCATCTTTTAACAACATGAACTAATTCGTTAGCTTCGACTTCAAAATTGCCGAACCGATTTACGAGATGTTTCTCATAAGAGTGCAAAGTATTTTCGTAACACTCGGACTTTGTACGTTGTTTATTATATTTTGATCCATGCAGAGTTTATTAGGAGTATCAGTCATGGTTGTTCAAAATGACTTTTCTTTTTTTCCTGTTACTAGCGCTTGTATAGTCTTCGAAATATATAATTAGCGCACCTTACGTAAAAAGGTGATAGCTTCTGATCAATTCTAAGAACTCAATAATAAACACAGTCGCACTTTGCGGTTAGTAAAGTGCATCGCTGTAATACTGCTTAATCAGTTGTTCTAATAATGTCCAAAGTAACTCTTTCATTTCCATCATCCAAACTTTATTCCGACTTTCCCCTCAATCGTTGAGATATTCTTGTGAAAACCGGCAACTGACTCTTCTCTGTCACATTTATCTTTGTCGCCGAAGTAAATTACTGTAATTATGCGGATGCTACCAGTAATGTTCGGGACTAGACCGTTCGGCTTGGACTGAACAATTTCTGCTGACAAATTGGGCTTCGGCGGATTATTGAAACAGTGTAGGTGAAAGCTTCTGCAGGCCCATAGGTTGATGCCACGTTTTAACTGACTTGAATGTACTTTCTATCACCTTGTTATATTATGTTATCGGTGTGTGAAGTGCAAAAGTGAGACTGTTTTAAATGTGTTTCAAGCCTATCTCAAATAACTTTTTCCACCACCTAAATTACAAGAGGCAAACCGGCACAATCTATTTGAAAAAACATGTATTCGATGAAAAACAGATCTTAGCCTTAATTTAAAGCTATCAACTTGGTAGTATTTGCAGAAAATTAGCATACCTATCCTCAGAACTACCCTTGATGGCTAGTTTACTAAGCCCTTGGTTTGCGCCACCCAACAACAATAAAACACCTTTGTTTTGATAAAATATGACGTCCGTGAATTGATATATTAAGCCTAATTTCCAACTTCTCAAGATCTTTTGATTTTGTCCCTTCTCAATCCATAACTAAAAGGTTGTAACTGTATTTTTTATCAAGGCACACATTTTAAGCATCGCCAAGGGAATACGGCAAGGTACTCAGAAAAGCATCGCAGTGGAGCACACCAGAGGAAGCATCATGACATGTACAGATAGTTAGCATATAAATGGATCACAGAGAGTTCACTCACAAGGATAGCAGTTGACTATTATTTTCGATTTCTCCAATGGTACTCATTCTAGTCCCTTTTAGGAGAATTTATTAAACACTGTCTTTTGTTGTTTATGACATTGATATATCATATGTAGGACCTGCATTTTCTCGGGAAGTGATTAAGGTTTGAGGAAAAGGACAGCACTTTAAGGAGTTCGTAGAGAAGAATGTAGCAAAACCCTTTTTTAATTTTATGGGACGCCCAAATTTGCATACCCCACGGATTTGGTTCGTTTATATTGCGTCTTCGCTATCAAAGCGAAACTCTGTTCAAGTTTGCTTGACCAACATTGTGAAAATCTAGCATGTCTTCGGTTTGCCATGCACTGTTCTGGCGACTATCCATCAGTAAGTAGTTAATATTATTCGCAGTAAATTACCCATTAACATACTTGGCCTTTTAAAATTGAAAACACACGGCTAAAAAATTTGTAAATACACAATCAAATGGGGTCACCATTGTCATGTTCTAGCTGCTTCTACTTTCATATACCTATATTTGTCCCAAAAGACAGCCCGCGTTTGATAGGCGCTTGTGTCCCTTGGCGTAAACCAATCAGTGCGAAGGATGCCTTGC